TTTTTTTTTTCAATTGCGAATTTTTTTACCCACCCCTAATACCAATGAGGACGTACTCCTCCTATGTAACATTTTGTGTCATTTAAAAGAAAAATTATATACAAAGCGGTACTTTTTTTTGGTCTAAATCACTCGTTCATGAGCTCTAACCTCCCCCCTCTGTCCTCTTTTTAATTAGTCCCTTTAAGATGTAGCCCACTGTAAAAAATTTTCGATCGATCTACTGAATATCTAAGATTTTGTTTAAAAATGTTAGGCTGTAATTGTAATTATAAGTTTTTTTAGTTTTATATAACATATATAAGATGGAGGAAAATTGAAATGTCTTGTCAATTAAAATATTAAAATTGATAATGAAAATTTTTAAATGCTATTAATAATTTAACACACAAATAGAATCATTAAGATTATTTAAATAATTTTCAAATAAATCTTAATATTTAAAGTATTAAAATTTTTTTGATTTTCACTTTTCTCATATATTTAACATAATTAATTTTTTTTCATTGTTACATTTTTTGAATTTGTTGGTTAGGTCACGAGGCACAAATGATGTCTGCATTATATATATTTACTATTAAACATGTGGGTAATTACTCTTTTTTTTTTTCAGTATTTATTGTCATAGTGTCTTCAAATTAATTTTTATGTATATTGAGACTAAATTTTCTTTGAGCAGATCCTTACTATTTGGTTTAGCGACTTTGACCCTAGATTAATGCGGATCATTTTTTATAGATTGTGTGTTCGAACCCCATGTATTTTTTTTCTCAATTCCCATTTATTTAATATGTATTAATTTCCTTTCATTTAAAAAAATTTCTTTGAGCAATTTTAAAAATATACATCTATATTAACTTAATGTTTTAAAAATTTAATTTTTTTAAATGTTAATTTAAATACTTGAACCTGGACCATGTGTGCATCTAATTCTACCACCGTATTGACTGAGAGAATTAGATTCCAAACAGCAGCTTCCATAGTCCACAAACAACTGCCCATGCATGCACCATTGCTGTCAAAACCACATTCTATTTGCATTTAGAGCACATAATTTGTAAAAAATATCATGATCAATGGTCTCCGTAGCTGCAATTATTGAAACATTCTTCGGTCTCTCACGATGATATCACAATCAAAATATTAAATTCTCAAATTGCAGCATATGACTTGACTTGATCAACTTGAAGGTCCTATGCATTTACATCTCCTTTTAAGATGAGGACCCCATTTTGGGGTGTTAGGTTCAACATTTTAAACAAAATCAATGAGATTAAACTTTCATTTTGATCTTTTTATTTTTACAAAAAACTTTTTTTTAGTTCTTTTATTTAGGAAAATTCTTTTTTATTTCTTAAAATTTATTGTTCGGTCTTTTTTAGTTCCTCTATTATCTTTTTACACACGTGATGAGCTACATAATAAAAAGTCTAAAGTAGAAAGACCAAAATGGAGGTTTTTTAAAGTAGAGGGACCAAGAAAGAACTTTATTAGTCCTTTTTTAGTTTATCTACCTTTGAATTTCCGTTATCTAATGCATATCTGTGTAAAAAAAAAATGAAGAGACTAAAAAAGAGCCAATAATAAATTTTATGAATTAAAAAAGAGTTTTCTTAAGTAAATAAACAAAAAAAAAAAAGGAGTGTTTTATTAAAGTAAAAAAATTAAAATAACATTTTAACCAATCAATTACAACTTGAGAATCACTAATTATGTAGAACAAGTTATGATTTAATTAGGAAATGAATTTACTTTTTATTTTATTGACTAACATTTTTTTTTTTTGAGAAATGCTAATGAGGGAAGAAGTAATTCTTCATTAATCCTTTGGTATCGTCGTAAATAGCTTGGTTTTGATCAAACTAATTAAAAAGGAATTTATCTCAAAATGTATGTAAGTTAATTTAAGAACCCCTTAACCATTAAATCTTAAAAAAAAAAAAAAAAACAATATTAATGCTTGACAAGAACAAGCAAGACAGGGATGATGGCTAATTCTCATTTTCCTTGATTAGTTACTCATATAAAAAAAAAAAAAAAAAGAAAAAAAAAAAGAAAAAGAAAAAAGAACCACATCTATAAAATTGGGATCTAAATTTCTCCCAAGACCTTGAGGATCCAATAAGAGTAAGAATCGGTTCTAGTCCTCTTAATGGAGATATTCTGCTATGTTATGAAAGAATTGAAGATACTTGACGTGCCCATCCTCGAACTAAAAACAATTAAAAGGCTTATTAAAAAAAAAAAGGAAAGGAGAAAATAATTAAAATGAAGAATCAGCATCTTACACTATTTAGATACATTTTGGAAGAGAAATATATTTAATACTCGAGTATTTATGTTGAAAAGGATTAACATTAAACTCACTAAGACCTCCGTTTTGATTAATTGCATGGAATTGTGTTGCAATCTGCGTGTAACTGCCAACTAACAATCACCATCTGATTAATAAAATCCGATGGTACCCACCAACTGAAGCTTTTAATACGAGTAATAATAGGAAATATAAAAATTATTTGAAATAAAAATTTAAAATTAATTATATATATCATATTATTAAATTAATTGATATATATAATATTATAAATTTAAAAAAAATAAAAAATAAAATTTATTTTTTAATATTTTAAATAACATAATTTGTCGCTATTTTATTGATATCAAATTTTAACTCTAAATTTTCGATCCCATTCATTATTATTCTTTTAATTTTGGTTTCAGTGTAAGTCGATTAGTAATATTTTCTACTCAAGGGAATTTAGAATTTTAGATTTAAATTAAACGCACACAAATAAAATGAATAAAAAAATAATTATTTTTTATTAGATAATATAAAAATTAAAAATATATAGTAGAACTTATTGGTTCCTGTCTCTATCAAAAATCATTTTCTTTTTCTAAAATTAAGGTACCGAATAACGCCAATAAATATCTCAGCTCAGAAAGCAAAATGTCCTCCACATATATTTAGAGAGTTTAATTAAATTCTCTCGAATTTTATTTAGTGCGGATAACTAGTTGTAGTTTCGGCTGAAATGACGAGAAAGGTAATTTTTTTTTTTTTACTTTGGATTAAATAAAAAAATTCAATTTGGTTTATAAAAATATTAAAAATTTTATTTAATAAGTGTATTTAAATGCTTTCACAATTCGTATTACATATAGTTTGAACTGAAAATATTATTTTTGAATGAATTAAAGGCCATGTTAATATGCTAAATTCTTAGCATAGGTTTAGAATTTTTTTTCTCCTAATTCCTAATTGGTTTTATTTCACTATACTCTTTACTATTTAATAAGAACCTAAATTAAAGTAGACAATTAAAATAGAATAGAGTTAGAATAGATTTTTTTTTTCTTTTTAACTAAAACAAAACTGTTTTACTAGTATTTTGATTTAAGAATAATATTTATTCTGGTAAAAATAAAGACTAGAAAAAAAAAATAAAAGACCTCTTTCATTAGTATTTCCAAGCGATATAGAACAATTTTTGTGAATCAAGGAATAATAAGATAGATGGCAAAAAAAAAAAAAAAAAGGAATAATGAGGTGGAGAAGGTAAGATTTGTCTCTATAGCTGAAAAAAGTTTTATGTGGAATAAAATGAGAACTCTCACATTCCTTGTTATGCTATTTATTTTGTTTATAGATTCTACAAGCCATCTTCACAAATCAATAATATAGCCCGACAATTTTGATAAAAAAAGAATAATATTTGTTCTAATTTCTTAGATAACTTTGGTTATATGGAGAAAATTTGTTTATTTTGTTTTAACTAAAAACTGTTTTTAAATTTAACTTTTATTAAATTATAAAATAAAAATTGTTAAATAAAAAACAAATTATTAATATTAAAAGTCTTAATCTATACAAAGGTTTTTATTTTACATTTTAAACAATAAACAATTGACTCTTATTTTTTATCAACAAAAACGTAATTGAAATAAAACTCATTAATTAAAAATGTTAATTTAAAATTAAAATTAAAAATTTAAATTTATATTATATTAAACAATTAACCTTTAATTTATTTAAAAAAATTGACACTTGTTAAAAAAATGGCTCTTTTCTTGTTAACATATTACAAATTGAAGATAAAGAAGAATTGAAATCAACCCAAAGAATTAAAGGTGTAATTATGAGTGTGATAAAATTACTAAATTAAATAAAATTTTAAATTTAAATATTATGAAGATAATAATACGTATAAAGAGAATTTTTTTTTTTATGAAATTTGATGTTATGTAATTTTAAATTAATTAAATTTAATATTGTTTTTAAATATATCGTGATGTTAATTAAAAAAAAAACCACTAAGTTAAATAAGTTAAAAAAGGAAGGAGCGTTAAAAAATGGCTCTTGTTTTTATCTTCCCAAAGCAAAAAATATCTCTAGTGCTACTTCTAGTCTTGTACTAAGGATATCACATGGGAAAAGTCTCCAATCCACGTGTAGCCAGTAAAATACTCCACGTCATACCGCAACCAATTGCATTGTACCCAACAATACTTCATGCCAACCAGTCATTGCCGTCCCTCCCAATTTAATCCTCCCCCTTCTCCAGGATCGACAATCCCTCTCCGACCGACGATCTAAGATGTAAATACCCCATTCCCATACTCTCTTCCCTCCGCCATGACCGCCACCACTATCACCTATTATCTCTCTGAACACCCCGCAATCGTCGGTTTCCGGTGGAGCAACGCCCAATCATGGGGCTCCACCTGGTTCTTCCTTTTCACCTCCATCGCCCTCTACCTCGCTCTCGCCTCCCTCCTCCACCTGCTCTTGTCTCTCCTACCCCGTCGCTCCAGGGGAATCCCTCTCGGCCCAATCCCTGCCGTCCACAGCCTCCTCATGTCCCTCACGTCCGCCGTGATTTTCGCCGGTATCCTCCTCTCTTCCGCCGCCGAGATCCGAGAAACCCGCTGGTTTTGGCGTCGCTCTAAAACCCCTTTCCAGTGGCTCCTCTGTTTTCCTCTGGGTACTCGCCCATCGGGTCGGGTCTTCTTCTGGTCCTACATATTTTACCTCTCCCGATTCATCCACATGTTCCGGACATTCTTCGCGATCCTTAGGAGCCGTAAATTAACTTTCTTTCACTTATTCAACAACTCCATTTTGACATTCATGTCGTTCATGTGGTTGGAGTTCTCGCAATCGTTCCAGGTACTCGCAATCCTCTTCACGACGTTGGTATATTCTGTTGTTTACGGGTACAGGTTCTGGACGGCAATCGGGCTTCCAAGAGCCTGCTTTCCCTTCGTTTTGAATTGCCAGGTCGTCTTGCTCGGCTGTAATCTGGTGTGCCATGTCGGGGTGCTGCTGTTGCATTTCCTCAAAGGTGGGTGTAACGGTATTGGAGCTTGGCTGTGTAATTCGGTGCTGAACGGAGTCATTCTTTTACTTTTTTTGAAGTTCTATGTGAAGATGCATTTGGCGAATCGGAAAGGGAGGAGAAGAACCACCACCGTCGCCGGAGAAGCAGAGGTGGAGGAAACTAAGAAATGCAAGAATAAGTAAGTGGTATCACTTGCACTTGCAGGCTCTTTTAGTTTTTAATATTTTTGGGTAAAAGAAAAGAACATGAAAGACTGTGATTTTGGGGGTAAGGGTAAGTTTTAGGAATCTCATTTTTATTTTTGTAAAGAAAAAAAAGGCATAAATTAATTACGAAAAGAGAAGAACACAAAATTTCCCCAAGTGTTTATAGGGGTTTTTATACAAGTTTTGCTATTTATTTATTTATTTATTTTTTTTCACTTAGATTAACATAATTATTGTCCCTCTTTTAGAAATTCAATTAGAATTGGGTAGAGGGAATGATGAAAAAGGTAGAGCAGTGGATTTGGTGTTCTGATTTGGGTATGATTCACCTACCAAATTATGAAATTATGGGATGAATTCCCTTGTCGTCGTGCTTAAGTTTATAACCTAATTGTTAAGGTACATATTAAGGTACATGTGCCGTACTTCTATCCTTAAAAGAAAATGTATAAATAAAAATATTAATTTTATTAGTTTTTACATAAAAATATTAATTTTTAAAATAAAATG